TCCCTCTCAGCGTCGTATCTTCCTCCCTATTCCTTCATGCAATGCTGGAACATAGTCACTGTATTCTCAACCCAGAAAACATTGTATTTTCAACACCTTGCCCATGAAGTATACGGGAAACAAGCAAGGACAAAGATAAACGAAGTATAAAATGCAAAGAACACCTGCAAGAGAAACCTGAATATACAAGACAGGAACTTACTACCCTGCTTATATAAAAAGGACCACAAGTCAGTGAGCACTGCCTGCTTGGTGTCTTAAAAAATAATAAGCATCCATGTATGTATCTGTTCTCTATCCAATAAATAAACTGCTTCTCTTTTCAGACTCATTGTGATCAAACTGAAACTTTGGATTATGTATTTTTCGACATTCACTTTCTGCATTACAAATCAGCTTGCAAATAAAGAATAACTGTTCACTGGAATTTCAGACTGCATATAATTTCTTCTATAGCAAATGTTTCACCCATTACTTACTTGGCATTGTTATATACAGCCAAATAGTACAATCTTCTTTTCAAAAAAAAAAGAAAAAAACCCAACCGTTACCATATTCCAAATCCTCACTACTGCATTTCTCAATACATTATCCAATTAACCACAAACTTGGCATACGAGCAGTTACTGAAACACGCACTAATTCTACCAGGCTTCAGATGGGCATTATTTCATTTGAGGAACAGGAAGGAGGGCTAGAAAAGCTTTCAGAAATGTCTTTCCAAGGAACAGGACTCAAGGAATCTTATCAAAGCCAAATTCTTGAGCCAGGAGTACATTAAGGGTTTCTCTTGGAGTATGTCATGCGTGCTGGATGTCCAGGGACACCACCCTGACCACCACGAAGAGTCAAAGTCTTCCTGCTGCAGGGAAGCAGCGACAGCTTTCAGAGTGTACTGGCAGCAGTGCCCTGGCTTTTACATCCCTCTCAATTCTCTGTATTGCATCTTCCTGCAGAACTACCAAGCTGCTTTCACTACCTGTCTCTGACCAGGTGCGGGGGGAGCAGAAACATGTTTAGAGTAGCTAGACACTCTTTTCTTGAGGCACATTTAACTACCATTATAAACACTAAAGTACTGTCTACTTTTACGACAGAAACTGCAAGCCCTACAGTGACCTGCACAGATTAAAAAAAAATTAAACACTCAGAGGTGATCACTAATTCAACATCTGATGAAGCATGTTAACTCCTTCACTTAAAGCAAATCAGCTTGTGCTCTGGTACAGTCAGATCCCACAAAGATGCCAACAACTCCACCTGTTTCTAATTCAATAATAGAAGCACTTCAGTATTTAAAAGCTACTCATTACTACTTAGCTTTTCCAGATTTTGTTACAAATTTTATAATGTTGTAAGATCAATGGTTTACCTTAAACAATTAGTCACAGCATGCACAGAACTAATATTCCATCCTTACTTTAATCATACATGATGCAATACCAGGACGAGATTTTTAAAACCAGAAACGCATGAGCAAGATTTGCCTTTAGATTTTTGTTCCCTAACTTGATAGTAACAAGTTATGCCGTTCTGCTCAAAAGCAATAAGAAACTACTTTTTACCAAGGTGTGTGCCTGTCCTAAAAAGCTACGATGACATTTTGGGACTTCTGTTTACTGTCAAAATACTTCAACACGTAGTTCATTTAGTTTTCAAATGGTATTAACTTCTCCCATTCACCCTCCAGATCCAACTTAGGTCTGAGAGCCAAGCCAGACTTACTCATTCAACACTGCTGGACAAAAAGATACTGCAGGAACAACTGTCTCCTCTGATACAGACAGATACACACACACACACACATTCAGGAATATTAAGCAAAATCTTAGACAGGACTGCCTGCCGTACCCCCAGGAACACGGCGCTCATTTTCCCGTTCTCCAGCAGAGGGTTGTTGTTATGGTGAAGGTGCTGATGACACCAAGACCGACAAACTCGGCACAGGACGACGCAAGAGCAGGTAACCTTCACGCTGCTGCACGTCAGCAGGATTCAGATCACACAGTTGCCTCCAAACAGAAGACGCAGTTTTAACTCGAGAGCAACAGCATTTCTCCGGTGATTTAATTTGCATTTATTGCCACAATATTCACTGTTTGCAAGGATCTGTTTTCTCTATGCACTGAGATTCCCTTGCCATCAGCTCACAGACATGGGCCCATCTTCAACCATGTGGCAAACTGATGCAGAAATGCCATGCCAATTCCATCGTTTCTTTAGGAAATATGACTAACCTTTATTAGAGAAAAGGGTTAAGCATTCAGCTGCATGCCTTTCGGGTACAGTCTCGAGTGAAGAGCCACGTTTGATACCTGCAAGAAACTGCCATTTTTGCATCTCATATTCCATTTGTGAACAGACCTTTTTGTTCTTTAATCCAAGTTCTGAATTATTTAATCCTGCCTCCAACTCCTGAAATCTCTCTTCCTATAAACAAGAGGTTATTTAGCGAAAGGAAATAAATAATTAAAAGAGTCAGACCCTAAAGTGTTCCTGGCTCTGTTTTTAATTAATATTGATACAATCTTGAGAAACCTGCTGCTTAATATTACAAGGCAGGTTGAAGCTCATCAACAGTTAAATGTCGTCTTCTAACAGAACACAGAAGAGGAAGTTGTGAGCAGACAGGGTGCATGTCACTGCACTGCCGGCGATACGGGACTACATGGTCTCAGCTCCTTACAACTTTCTTATGCAGAAAAATGATAGCTTCAAAGCCATCTCAACCCAGAGCTGCAAGAGCTGGAGTTTACAGGGCACAGCTGGAACTGTGTTAAGCATAAATCCTTCTGGTTTTTGCCCTGGGACAGGGTAATTGTAAGTGCAGACAAAAGCATTTTTATTTTCTGTAATTCCACACTCAAAATACATTAGTACAAATGAATGATGGAGGAGGGAGGGAGGGAGGCATGGACAGTTCTGTAAGACTGAACTTCATACACAGTAATGATAGTTTTTATAGCATATTGCTTCATCTGCAAGTGGGAGTAAATATTACACTACCTCTTCATGCAGATGGGAGGATTAAAAAAAAAAAAAAAAAAAAAACACACAACACCAAAACCAACAAACTAATTTGAAACAAATTAACTATTCTGCATATGGATGAAGGTACTCTCTACCTCTCTGGTCACTCCAGAACTCTCCACAGACAGACAGCATGCAAAGTTAATAAACTCTGCCTGGCGTACAGATTGCCCGGCGAACCTGCCAAAAGGTGAACAGCCTCAATCCGCAACATGTACAAATAATCACACGTCCTCAAAAGCAGGTAATGAATATTGTTCAAACAACTTTAAGCTAGCGTTACCAGAATGCTTCAAAGGAGAACCTACAAGCTGTTCAAGTCAGACTCACATTTAGTCTGCAAAAACGAGATTAAGGTTTGTACAGTGATACTCCACAACAGGTTTTACAATATGCACAGAAATTAAATTATGATAAAAGTGAGCTATTTTTTACTAAAAACAGAATAGAACAATCTATCAAAATGCCATTTGGCTGCGTTCATTACATTTTAGAATTTAATTTACATGATAGATACGTTAGTGTAATAGGTTTTAATCAATAAGCATTTCTGAAGGCTTTATTTTTATAGGAAATATTTAGACTTCTTCACCCTTAAATGTAACACCACGGCAGTGACGTTCAGAGTGTTTATTTTCCTACGCTAAGCAAGTACAACCACACATACACAGAGGCAAAAGCAAAACTCCACAATTAAAGATGTCAGACCTTGTTTAACTACATCTTAATTTAATCCATTTTATTTTATACAATTCTACATCTGGATCTCATTTTCTGTATTCCTGTAGGTATTCTGGGTCACTATTAAGAACCCTTTCAAGTTAGCAAAGTTCAGCCAAGTCTACCTTAATCCAAAGCCTTTAAAAGAAACAATAAAACACGAAGGGGGGGGGGGGGGAAAGAAGGGAAGGAAAAACCTAAAACGAAACGCTACTTTACCCCACCTCCCAATGCACCTGAAAGTCAGAAGGGACCAGCCTCCTACTACAGATCCTACGTAGCACTTCCCGTTTTGGGGCTTGCTGGGGTTTGGGGGGTTTTTTTAGCACCCTCTGCAAGCCCTGCCGAGGGGAGGGGGGCGGCGGGCCCGGGCCCCCCCCGGCAGCACCCCCTCGCCTCCGGCGGCTCTGCCCAGCGCCAAGGCACCCGAGGGGGCCCGGGTGGGCAGCCGGCGGCTTTCGAGCCGATTTATTTAAACGGGAGGCACCGGCGGGTTCGGAGAGGCAGGGCAGCGCTCTCCTGCGCCAATCAACTGGGAGAAACACGCATGTTGCAATCCCATTCAGCGGCGGGAGCAGCACCAATTCATCGTTTGACAACCTTAACCCCCCCACAACCCCCCACCCCCCCCCCCCCCAACCCGCCCTGGCCTTATCTATCCCCCAACAATTACATTAAACAGTGGATCTGCAATTTCCTCAGGGCACGCACGCAAAGGGTGAAGGGAAGCTGGTTTGCGAGGACTTTCCCTCGGAGGAAACAGGACTTCTTGGCTGTTATGAGCCAGCACAGTAAAGCATCAATATTCCACTCATCTGTCAGATCCTGGACAGCAGGAGAGGCTGGAGAGCCGGTGAATTATGTAAGCCTGCCCTCCCGCCGCCGCCGCCCCGGGGAGATGCCCCGGCCGTGCCCCGCCAGCCCCTCACCGGCCCCCGGGAGCGTCCCCGGCCGGCGCTGCCCTTGCCCTCCCGCCCCCCCCCACCCACACACACACACAACCGCGCACCCCCCTTTCCCCGGCCCGGCGGGCGCTCCCCCTCTCCACCACCACCACCCCCCCCCCCCGCCGCGGTTCCATCCCCGGCGCGGTGCCAGCGGGCCGCGGCGCTCGCAGCGCGGCGGCCCGGAGCCCCCCCCCCCCCCCCCGCCCCGGCCGGCTGAGGGCCGGGCACCCCCGCGGCGAGGCGGCGGCCGGGCAGCGGCGGGAGGGGGGGGGGAAGCGCCCGGCTCGGCCGGCCCCACAGCGCCCCCAGCCCCCGCCGCTCCGCGCCTGCACGCCGAGCCCGGCCGGCTTCCCTGCGCCCCCACACAAAGTCCCAGCACTCGGTAAACTTTCCCCGGCTCCCGGGGAGAAAAGGCGGCGGGGAAGCGGCGGCGGGAAGGGGCAGGCTGAGGGGGGGAGCGGGGGGGGGGGTGCGTGGCGGGGGGGGGGGGGGGGGGGAAGGCAGGCGCGGGGAGAGCAGCGGTAGCCCCGCCGCCGCCCGCCCCGCACGGCCCCGGCCGCCGTGGGGGGAACGGGAAGCGGGGAAGAGAAGCAGCCCGGGACGGAGCGGGCGAAGCGGCGGCAGCGCCGGCTCCGGCGCCATCTTGGGCTGATCGATGAATTGAACAAAGAGGATCAATTTCCGATGGGGCCGGTGATCAATGGCGGGGGGGGAGGGAGCGGAGCGCCGCGGCCGGGCGGAGCGGGGGGTTCCCTTTAGGCGGCGCGGGCCGGCAGCGGGAGGAGGAGGGGGAGGCCGGGCCCGAGGGAAGGCGGAGAAGGGAAGGAGGGGGGGGGGGGGGGGTCCGGCGGCGCGGCCCGGCCGGTGCGGCGAGCGGGGGAGCCTGACCTGCAGCTGCTGTAAATCAAAGCGCTTCCAATATTGAAACATCGATCCCACATTGGCCGCCATCTTGAGACATATTGAGACAGAGTGAGCGGCTGATAGAGAGAGAGGGGCTGGAGTTCAGGAGCCGGGAGGGAGGGGGGAGGGAGGGAGGGAGGGAGGGAGCCGGGCGGGCGGGGGGGGGGAGGAGGGGCGGGGGGGCAAGGGGGCGGGAGGCGGGCAGGGAGCGCCCAAATCCCGGCCTGGAGCCCGCGCCCGCCCGGAACACGGACTCAGCCCGTTCGCTCCGCGGGGGGGTGGGGGGGGGTTGGGGTGTTGAAGTTGGGGGGGCGGCCCCCCCCCCCCCCCCCACGCACACCGCGCGTGCCGTCCCACGGGGCTGCGCGGGGGCGCCCACGGGCGGGCGAGGTGGGGGGGGGGGGGGACACGGGGGGGACGGGACACACACACACACACACGCGGGGACACCCACCGCGGCGGGGCGGGGCGTGGGGGGGGGGTGGGTCACTGCCCGCTGAGCCGCGGATCTCCCGCGGGCGCGGTGGCCGGGGTTGACGGCAGAGCTGCCGGTCCGCGGAGGTGGGCGGGGGGGGGGGGGGGCGGACGGGACAACACACGGACAGACGGACACAGGGACACACGGACACCGCAGGGGCGACAGCGCGGCCCGGGGACGCTCCGCGGGCGCGGCCGGGGCTGGGCGGGCAGGAGCTCGCTCGCAGGGCCGGTGCCACCGGAGGGGACGGGTCGCAGGAAGGTTGGAAAATCAGATGGCAGCTCCGCGCAGGATATCCATAGAAACGGAGGTTAAAAGGATGAAATAACTTATTTTGTTCTAAACAATAATGTTGCTATAAATACGAACGTTTTCCTTGTTCCCTTCCTGAAAAGCACAGAACATTTTACCAGGCTCATCTCTTAACAAAACAAACCACTGCACACAAACAGTCTGCAAATACATTGCCCCCCCTGGAAGCATTCCTTATTTCCTTACTGGGAAACGGGCAAAGCTGCAGTCTGTACCTGTCCCCTTTGAAATCAATAAGCTGCATGGTATTTTTCCAAATCCAGCTACTTTCACTGTTTTGCACTTCATCTGTAAAAGGAAAATATATCTTCCTCTGGGTAAGTGAGTGATTGTAGATTTTTTCTCAAATTGTATTTGATCATCAAGTGAATTTAGTGCTCACTCAAGTCAGTGGGTTGACTACTTGAAAATGGCTCTGTCTATCTTTTGAGAAGTTACGGCAGCGACAGAGCAATTGCTACAGATTATTTCCCAGTCTGCTGCTGTCCTTGTTTGGAGGAGCATCGTTATTTCAGCCTCCATTTCCACTTTTTGCTGAGGCTGCTGCTTACAAAGATACTAATTGCGATGGCAGGTTTTATGTTAATGGGTTCCATGTAATGATCAGCTCAACAACTGTAGACCTTCGGATTGTTAGTTGGCTGTACTGGGAATACAACTAATGGCATTCGGTTATGAAAACGTCAGGCCTCCACCTGGTGAACAGGGTTGGGCACCCAACGAGACTGGAATCCAAGAGCCTCTGCGCCGTGGCACGTGGGGCTGTCGTGGGGCTGGACCCCGGGGGTGCCTTTTGAGAACAAACCCCCTTTTTCCTCCCTCTGTGTGGGGTCGGCAGCGGGGGTGACAGTGGGAGGTTGGGGGGTGCCCGCCCGGGGCCCCCCCTGCGCCGGCGAGAGGGTGCCGGGTGCTGCGGCGCGATAGCCGTCTGCAGGGATGGAGCTGCACGAGCCTCCAAATTCTGACTAACAACGTAACCGGTTTGGTAGCTCTAAAATAGGATTTTAATCCTGGGAAGCATCATTTCACATTCCAGTGATCTAATCAAAATCCTTTCCTCTCATCTCTCCATGGTCCCCCCTTTCTAGATGAAAGAGGCTGGAGTCCCTGTCTTCACCCTTTCTCCACTGCCTCCCTGTTCTACCAGTCTGTTCTGTGTCCAGGCAACTGCAAAAAGATATTTCAAAGACTCCTGCCGTGCCATGTAGATGTTTTCTCTTGTTAGTTTGGACTGCAGGTGTGTAAGCCTCAAGGATGAAGTATCATGGTGCTGTTTTAGGTTCGGGGCATACAGTCATAGTACAATAAATCACATAGTAACGCTCCACTTTGAACGCGCACGCACAGAAAAAGGAAAAGAAAAAAGCATCTGACCTGAATCATTTTCTGGAAACACATCTGGTTAAAATCCAAAGTTTTAAATTGAGTAATATTTTAAAATACATTTGTTAGGTATTAAATTACAGTGTTATATCTGGTAATATTTATGATACTAATGTGTTAAGCGGAGGTTTATATCTGTCAAGAAATATGAATGATTGTCATATGGGGTAACAAATGTATCCTGATATAAATAATATTTTATGGTATTTTTAACATTATTGTAGTCTTTTCTGCAGGAGTTACGTCTTGTCACATTATTGCCAATTTGAAATAAAAGCTCTGTGGCTAGATACCAAAGCTTTTAGCTATATAATTTTGAGTAAGTATAAACAGTACGGCTGATTTTAGGAAGTACTGAGAAACCTAACTCTGCCGGAAGACAAACGCTGAGCACCTATAATTCCTATTGTCTTCCGTGCAGGATCAAGTCCCTTATTTGCCATTTTGTGTGGCAGCAAGCCCAAGGAAATCTTGCTTGACAGCTCTGTTTTCTCAAAGTGCTGTATTTCTTCGGGCTGGATTCTGCAAAGATCCTGCAGGGTACAGAGCTCCTTGGAGCAAGCAATAATTTGCTTTGTGTTCCTGCTGAAACGCACCTATGGAAGATGGAAGGAGGATCTTGGAAAATTTGGTGCATCCTGGCAAGAAGACAGCTAGAATAAAGTTTCCTTGGATTATTATATTTTGAGAAATCAGTCTCATCTGCTCATTTGAGGAAGGGTTTCTTAAGGTTAGATTTGATCTGTGTAAATGCTAACTTCTTTCAACGTGCACTAATAGAGTACTGAAAAAGTAAGTACAGTGTATTTGAAGTTTAAATCTGAAATGATGGCAGTAACTAATAGTAACTCAGTAATGCTTGCTACATCTAAAATATTTGTAAGTATGTTGTACAGACTTCTTTTTCATTTTCTCTCAGGTATAGTCATTACAGGCACTATTTTAGGAATTGGGCAAATATCTGATTGAAATTTGTTTCCTATTAAGTCACCGTGTCATAAAATGTCACTAATACAGATACTTAATTAACACATTTGCACATTGGGCCGTCAATGGCCATTGATCTAGTTATGCTTCACATGTCATCATCCAGAATACTGAAAAAAATAGACCTTTATTGCAAGGGTCTCAAACTTGTCAGAAACAATTCATTGTCACAGCTGCTCCTCTGGGCAGCAGTCTGTATTCATTAAGATATTTTGGACCGCGAGTCCAAGTTTAATCACTGGACTTAGGCTTCTGTTTGCCTTAGTGAATCTGGCTTATTTCCTTGGCCGGAACACTGAAAGGTGAGGTGCTGCTCTCCCAGCAAGACTGGAACTTTTGAGTCTCTTCTCCGTGGATTCTTTTTTTCTTCTTCTCTTTTTCACTTAAACTGACTCCCAAATTTCCATCAGTTCCCATAAAAGAGTTCCTCTGAAGCCTTATCTGTGCTCTTGTCTGCCCCTTGTCTAGCCCATTCCCTCCTCACCTTCGTGGCTCTCATCTTTGCATTTTCTTCAGCTGCGGCTTGTCCCTGGCTGCCTGGCTCCACGTGCCTGTGCCCGCTGAAAAGGAGTGCCTCATTCCAAAATCCCATCCCTCTCCACTATGAAAGTGTCGTTCTGTTCGCTCTTCAACAGGATTTGAGAGCAAAGTAAACTGTGCTCCACCTCTCCTTACTACACTGTGCCATTGCATAGTGAGACTCTGTAGGGATGGCAGAGAATGGAGACGGCCAAACAGACAGATAATTTATGGTGCTGGGAGATTTAGCCCAAATTAAGATCAAAATGCATATATGTCTTCCAAATCACTTTTTTTTTTCCCCCAATTATTGTTAGTGACTCCAATTCTGCTTGATTTATATCTGTTGTAGTAGCCAGAGGTTTTGCAGCTTATAAATTGCCAGGGGATTTGGCCAGTGACGTGGACGCAATGGTGTGTACAAGCTCAGGAAACTCCCTGAGCAGAAGACGGTTGGAAGCTGGGAGAGTACCAGGGAGAAGTATCCCATGTGCCTGCCCACTGTTCCTGGGGTGTCCACCTCCGGTCCCTGGCAGAGACAGGACGCTCAGCTGGATGGACCCTTGTTCTGAACCAGCGTGGCGACTCCCACATTCTTTGGTAATTTGTGAAAGTTTTAGCACAAATCACGTAGATGGTGGCATACATGATCTGAGCGTGAAATCTTACGACAACTGAATAGCCAGATACACACTGGTAGATGGAAGAGAAGAAAGCAGTTCTCACAGAGGGCAGGGCAAACAGCCACAATTAAAAGCAAAGCAAATTTGGGTGGTGTGGTTGCTCGCTGTTTAACTCTGAAGACATTTATAAGTATCCAGGATAACCCACAACAGATATTCTTTGAGGATTTGTGGATTAACCCATACCAACAAAAACATGTGATGACATCGTAGCGGTATTCTCTGCTGTGTACAGTAGGAGTTACTGAAGACCCCAGAAGAACGAATATATCACTGTGCCTAATGAATTGAGTCAGCCCTCCCAGACTGAATATGTTTGCAACATTTCTGCCAGATAGCTGCTTTTCTTATGGTATATTCTATCCAGATGCATGGTCGTGTTTTGGCCAACAATAAGTAATAACAATACCCACAGGCAATCAAGAGAATTAGAGAAGAAAAGGACCTATCAGATTATCCACTCCCTGTAGCTGGCAGTGAGTAACACTTTCATACCAAATTTATTGAATTGTACGGTTCACACCAGTTTTAATTTGTAAGCACTGTCCTTGCCTTCTTGTCCTTTATCCCACGTGCAGGACGATGCCAGAGCGAGCGTTCTGTGGGACAGGAGGCGCGCCGAGTCCTTTCTTGGCTGGGCAGGGCTCACGCTCCCTCTAGCACTCTTCTCTCTGACTTACGCTGTTCTGTTGATTTGGGCATTTGTCTTCTCTGTCCTTTAAAGGAGTTAGGAGACAAGGTAGTAGGTTATGCTCCCCGTCAAAATTCCCACCTTTTGTCTGACTTGGAACCTTTCACTTATTTTTTATGTCTTACTGGTTTCTGTTAGGGTTTTTGGGTTTTGTTTTTTGCAAATCCCTTTTTTTGTGGTATCTAACTCTTGCTATTCCTATCATGAATCTCCTCACCCACTTTATGCTGCCACTTCCTCACTTCAGGTTCTTGCTCTTCCCATCTCTCCCTCCCTGCTCAGCCAGGGATCCATTTTGGCTTTGCTTTCTCCTCCCTTAACTCTGTCCCAGGCAGGTATTTTTCCCAATTTCTGCAGAATCTTCAGGTCCAATATTTCACATACTAAGAATCAGAAGCTGAAACCGGCGATATTAGTTTAAATCCCTTCTTGTTTTCTGAACCTCAGCTGGGATGATTATATTCTGCTTTCTTTGTGCCGCTCCCCCCGTGGCAGGAGAGCTGGTTTAGTGACGGTCGCTGGGGGTGGGAGCTGCGTTCAGCTGCTGTCACAGGGCTCTTCGTGACATGGAACAAGTCGCTGAATCTTCCCTCAGTTTCTCCATTCTGTAAAATACTAGTGGTCAGCGGGAGATAAAAATCTCGTGGTGAGTGTTGGGCACTTGCATCTGGCGGTTTGCAGAACAGGGAAATTGCAAGGAGGAGATGGAGGGAAATACAGAAGTAAAGCAGCTCACAGGCAGCTCCCTCACCTACCAGTTTCCCTTTCATTCACTTCCAGATAGGGCCTGTAAAGCGGGTGAGTGCAAAGCTGACGTTATCTTGGAAAAGGAAAGAGAAATAAGGTTTTTCTTTCACTTTCCAATCACAAACACTTCACGTGGGGAGGGAAGAGGGGAACGTCCCTCTGCTCCTTTCCTCCAGCCGGGCCTCGTGGTCCCCTTGTCCTGGCCTGTCCTCCCCGCCGTGGGGGTCACACCCCTCGTGGTGGGTGCCCGGTGGGTGCCGGCTGTCCCCGGGGTGGCTCAGCCCCACGTCGGCACAGCGGCCCCGGCACGCGGGTGCCAAGGGGAGAGGCGTCCGCGCCCGGGCCCTGTTGCAACACGCGGGGACGGGAGAGGAGAAGCGGCCGGGGGGACGGGGATGGGGAGAGCGGTGTGGTACCGCGGCGGGCTGCCTCGCCTGCCCCTGGCACCCCTGTGAGACAGAACCCGGAGCGCAGGGCTGCCGCGCTTGCTGGAGCTGTCAGAGCAGCCAGGAAGCTGGCTTTATTGTGCTGTGTGATGGGTAGGATGTTTGAGGTAGTTTTTCTTCCAATAATGAGTGTGAGATTTCATTTTGGGAAGCACATCTTTTCTTAGAAACACAACTGTGACTGACTTAGCACAACTGCGATTTTCTGCAAACACAACTGTGTTTGGGGTTGTTGCATTTGAATGCTAGGGTAAGAGAAACAGCGATTCTGGATTAATGCAGAAAAGGAGAAAATGGACACCCTTAGAGCAAGACATAAGTTCACTGTGGCTGCCATGTACTGGCAGAAACGATGCTGCGTCCCACAGGAAACATTTTAGTGTGGAGAACCTCCTTTCTGAAGAGAGTGTACTGGGTGCCTGTCATCACACGCAAAAGTGAGCCAAAGTGCTTGGGATAGCATATCAATCCAGTATTTCTTTAGTAACATGTATGAAATAAATAGAATTTCCCGCCCCCCCCCCCCCCCCCCCCCCGGCATTGCATAATTTGCTATTTGGTGTTTGGCTGGTGATGGATTACCAAATAGGGGAAGAAAAAAAATCTATATGATTTTTTTATATCCAAACATTACCTTCTCCTTTGGAATAAAGGGATCCAGTCTTATTCTGGCCATGATTATCCACATTTATATGCTGGCCCTTGTTTGCATCTGCTTGGCATTATCCTGCATCGGGGCTTTAATCTGATATGAATCCAAAGAAATGATATGGGAATTGATGGGATCACTATGAATTTCCAGGGGTGTAGGCTAGTGCAGACCATAGCCGATTAATCTTGTTGTATTCTTTCTGTAAATAACAAGCTGGATTTGGCCCAACAAGAGTAAAACAAATTGAAAGCATTCATAAAGAGAAGTAAATGGGTTTAAGATGTAAGAATAATGTATTGATGGGTTGTCTCCAAGTATCCAGTTTTTAAAAGTAGCAAAGCACATACAAAACTTTAGTTTAACATGTTCTTAAATGCCCTGCTGCGTGGGGCTGGCTGCTGAATTAGGGCCATATGCATAAGACCTGCTTTCATGAAAGGATTATATAAAAAAAAATTTTAAAACTGTAAGAAGGAGAAAAATGTTCAAGGGCAGCCAACCTGGAGGAAATGTATATAATTTAGTCTTGTGAAGTGTTTATAAATGCAGTTTATGAACACATATGAAAGAGT